TCCCTTTCCCAGGAGAGCTCCTGGGGATGGTTCTCCTCGAATGGGACTAACACAGGGAGGTGAATTAAGAAATTAGGGAAGTCTGACCTGTCCCGGTGACGTTCACAGTCACGTTCACAGCCCGGCTCCTGGGGGACGGGATCCACCTCCCGCTCACGTTCTCCTCGTACCTGCAGGTGAATTCCCCGGTGTTGTTGGGACCGGCCTGTGGGATGCTGAGCACAGAGACATTCATAGAGACAGTGCCAGGCTCCGTGGTGTTGATCTCAGACCCCATGTCCCCAGGGATGATCTCAGCTCCATCCTTGTAGAAGTGAAATCTCCACTCTCTGGCATCTCTGGAGACCGCACAGATGATGAGCAGGGGGAGTCCTTCGCTCACTGCTCCAGAAGGGGGATCCAGCCCCAGCACTGGCTGGGGAGGGGGATCTGTGGGGAGCAGCAAAGGAGAGGGGTCAGCTGGGACATGGCAGTGCCCAGAATTCAATTTATTCAGAGCTGACCTATGTTCAGAGCCTCTTGCTTCACGTCAGGATCCTGAGGGGCTCCCCACTGAAATAAGTGAGAACCGGGCTAAGGGGTGGGGATGGCTTCCTTCAGATACAATTTGGGGCTGGGATGTGGGGGTGAGAAGGTGGCCAGGATGTGACTCATTTCCTGTCACTTCTCCATTACTAATGTCTCAGCCCCTTGTATTTATGGAGCCGTTGGCAGCTAGGGAGGGCTCAGGTTGTCTGGAAATCCCGCTTCCTCTGGGCAGACTGAGAGCTGGATGCCCTGGTGGGATTCTACCGTCCCGGAGGGTAGAGGTGCAAGGCGGCCATGTTGGATACCCAGGTCTGTGTCCATGCTGGTGGAGAGGGGCTGGCTGTTCCCCGCAGGGATATCCTGGCCAGATGGGCATATCTCACGCAGACAGGTGCATGGCCCAGAGCCCCTGGCTCTGTGATGCTCTAGGGGTGAATGAAGCTGCCCGTGGAGGAGCCCCCAGCTGAGATGCTCCATCAGCCCACCATGTCGAATTGGATCCTGCAATTTAGTGAACACCAGGGGCAGCCCAGCATGTGAGGGGAACAGGCTCTCCGGGGAGTTATTTGGTGTGCTCTGGGCTCAGGGAGAGGGATGGGGCCGCACTGGGGTCTGGAAAACAGGCGTCAGCTTTAGATACCACAGAAGGGTCACACCTGGCAGGGATCTGGGAGGTGAGGGGCAGATGTTACCAGGTTACATTCATCTCAGGAATAAGGGGGAATGGAAATTTCTCCATGGGAAACTA